AAAGCTACCATTTATGCCACAGTGTTAGTTCAGGATACATATTGTGATGCATATGGGTGATTCTATAAATTAGGGGTCCAACTTGAGGACATTTTGGTGTCCTGTTACACGTGAAACCATTCAAATTTTCTTCATGTAAAATTGTCACAAGATTATCAAACATTTTGCAGATTGAACTGTATATTGTACAGGTCATATACAATGTAATCCTGTTTATTTACAGAATGTGAACAGTACTAATATTAGTTCCATCCAAAAAAAACTGAATGATTTCACCCGTAACTGAACACCAAAATGTCCCCAAGTTGGACTTCTAATTAATATAATCACCCACATGCAATGTCGTATTATGACGTCAATGCTGTTATTGTGTTGAGTGTTGCAAAAGTGGCAACACTACACGTACACATAGACCCTTTATGTTAGCCTTCAGTCAGATTTACTTATTTGCTCAAACCTGTTGGCTGCACAAGTCGTCAAAACAAGATATATGACAAAAACAGAAATGCCATAAAATGCTTCATCTCTCCTTCGATGGTGATTCAAGTACATGTATGCCCGTAATACCCTTTTGACATCCATCAAAGGATGTTGTAATTTAGCATGATGCCATAAATAATTACCAGTATACTTACTATCTATCCAAGCCACCAAGGTGTGATATTCATCTGATATTCTGTTGTAATGAATGAAGGATATCGTCTTGTGACAGTCCACAGATAGTCCAGTGGTGTCCTGGTACTTCCAGGAGTATCTCCAGGCTGCTGAGGCCATGTGCAGGGTAGGTCTTCTCTGCTGCCAAGACAAGTATATCTGAGCCTGAGGACAGGCAATACACCAAGCTCCTGAAGCTGGTGTGGTTGCTGTCAACTTTAAGAGTTAGTGTTGATTGTTGTCTAACTGGCCTAGTATTCAAGTGGGTCTTTTTATTTTGTGTATCATGCAAATTATCTGATCCCTCGTGAGAGGTAACAAGAATAACAGTATGCACACTGGGTTTTTCTTGACCGTGTATCTGATTGAAACATTGAGGCTCTAGTTGGACTAGGTACGTGTCTTTTAACGTGTTGACTGCCGACTATGAGTACAGTTGTAGTCACAGGTGTAACAGATTCTTCCACTACGAGTATACTCTCAGGAAATGAACGGCTCTTGTAATGTAAATTGAATACACTGGCATCACTGAAGAGCACAAAAAATAGTCTGCTGGTAGTGTGGAGAACATACATGTACATTTGTAAAACGCTCATAATCAGATAGACACGTGAAAGGTACCTATTAAATATGCGCGCATACATACAACGCTTTGCAACTGGGAATGCCCCATTGAAATTATGTGCAGCAGTCAAAGTGTTAAGTCCATTTCCTTGCAGTAATGTGTCTTGCTTATGGACACAGTCATGAATCTGTAATTTCAAAGTTTTATGAGTGGCCCATAGTTTAGGAAGGGTTTCATTGCACACCCACTTCCCCCATAGCAATCATCACCAAAACCCCTCCCTCCCTGGTCCACGGACTAGAGTGTACCCGCTGGACCATACCACCATGTGCAAGATGGTCATGTCACAAGGAGGTCTCAGTGGTTGAGTCCAATCTATTTGCTCCACAGCTTTACCAGAATCTAACGGCCTGTCAGATGTTGGGCAACCTGTGCGTGCTGTTGTATTACAACCCTAACAGCCTGAATGATGCCTGTGGTTACTTTGAAGACATAAGGAGGTCATCTATCCCACTGATTGGAGACAACCTGGACTGGTAAGAAATTGTACTTACATACATGTAGATACTATAATTTTTTCTTACATTCAGCCCGGGACTGGTTGTTCTTTACTTTTAACCACAAGGCTGAAGTACATGTAAAAAGGACTCGGCTACAAACATACGTGTTTGTGTACTAGAAATGAAACTTGTAGAACTTCATCAAAAATACAATTTTTAAATTTTCCTGATGAAAATTCAATTTGTAAAGATTTCTTCTACGAAGTCCCTTTTTTCAATCAAAAATTATGGAAAAAAAAAGCAAAAGCAAGATGACAACATGAACGCTTTGCACGCGATAGCCACCCGTGCTACCCCCCAAAATACAAGATATTTGACACCACCATTGAAAAAATTCCCCTTTCTATATGTGGTCTCATTTTTGCCACGTTATGCACAAACTCCCAAAATTACTATACATCTTTTTTATTTAGGGCTATCTATATGCCATGGTTGAGGTACGGCATTGACCCAGCCGATGAAATCCTGACTGAAATCAACATTCCCACCAAGTTTTCTGCCGAGCCCACGTCCGAGGTAATGTGACAGATCCCGTTAATCTTCACCTGCTTTTCTCAAAGCACATTCGCTTTTATGGAAGCTTCAGATAATATCCCTAAACCTTCTCCAGCTATCCACCTTGAGCCGAAGCACCCCTTCATCGGATGAAAAGAGCCACTTGGTGGGGAATAGTCATTTTGTCGGTAGCAATGCGACCGTAATGCTAGCATTTCATTGTCCGTGACCAAGCGAAGAGCAGCTCCCACCAAAGGAGCGTCTGTTGCTAGAAAAATTGTACCCCTCTTGATCCAGCTCGAGGCTTGTCCACTCGGAGCGGAACAAAAGAGGGCTTGCTTTTTTTTTAGTACTCACCTCATAAGCGCGCAAGTATAATGCGCGTTTGATGCAGAGCACGGTGAGTATGCGTAACTAATTTATTCCGGCATGTATGGTCTTTGCGTACACACAGAACACATGCAAGAACCTGCTTGTAACCACCTGTCTTTCTTTCGCCGATTGGGGTGCTCTTCAGCTAAGGGCGGATAGAGTCATTGAGTAGGAATTGGACGGTACAGACAATAGGGAGTAAAAATCAACGGCAATTTTTTTTTCAAAAGATTGACCAGAAGACAGAGAGGAGCTTACGTGTACATTTATGGTTTACAATGAATCTCTGAAGATGCTGCTTAAGAACAAAAACAAACCTACTTCTGTGGATTTGGGTATGCTGTGATGAGACAGTGAAGTGTTTTCTGCTCTTATGTACATCTAAACAAAAGAAGCCAAGATGGAAAGAACAGAATGAGCAACGAAAAAACAAAACACAGAACAATGGAGGCATTGGACCTCCGCTGTGTTAAGGAAAAACCCCTTTTCCTTTGTGTTGGCTTACAGTAACAGGATCCCAGAGTATTTTTGCATGTAACAGGTAAAGGTGCATGCCCTGACATGGGGACTGTGTTCAACAAAAAGCCCTGCCGATAAGTCATTTCAAACCACAAAGACTGGGACTTTGAGCAAAATATGTCTAAGCACTAATTAGTGAGAACAACAGATCATTTTTGAAATCTTTGTGATGTTGCCATAAATTATCGTGTTTGCACCCGAAGGACCGGCCTTCCATCATTTGACAGTATTGTTTTACCCATAAATCAAAGCAATCTGATACCATTTGCAGACGCTTGAAATAAATAAAGATCTCCAGACTTATACAAAGTGCTGTATGGTTGTTGTCAGAATTACTCCATGCTTCGTTGATTTTTTGTAGGGTCTGTTCTCTTTTTTGGTTTCAGGACAGCACGCTGAAGTTATTTGTGGCCCAGTACGCAGCCACAGGCCATTACCAAGACCTGCGATCAGTCCGTGGTGGTGTTATACAGGTGAAACTGTTTTTTTTATAACATTTGTTAAAAAGCTTTTTATTGAGTGAATATCCAACCAGTGAGATAGTTTGATGCAGTTGTTTGATGTAGAAAGTGAGTTAAAAGTATACTTTACCGACGGATACTTGCATGTTTTTTTGTCGCACATGCTCTACATCTACACCTTAGATTGGCAAATCTTAAGGTCCAAGACCATCAACTTCCTATCAGTTATATAGGATTTGGGCAATTTTCAAAAAGATTTTATGGACATTAAAGTGGTTGGTTGTGATGTATTTTAGTTGTCCATTTTCCTGAGTTTGCGTCAGACTGGTTACTGATCTGATGCTTTTTCTGCATTGAGAGGAAGTTTTATTTCCTGTTAAAGCCAAAACCAAGTTGTTGGAACATAAGTGTTGTCCTCCTGATGCTTTTGGCCCCCACAACACCTGTATTTCATTGCACGTGTCACCTCACAACTGTGGACTGAGTACGCGTATGTGAGTCCTGTTAAATGTGAGAAGGTGCTCTGGGTTTGGTTGAGTTTCAGTACTCGCTGCCTATTGAAGCAGACGTGTAAACCACTCAACCCCTCCCCCCCTCCCCGGGTCTGAAGTGGGTTGATGAGAGATGTTGATGGAGTTACTAAAATCTTCTTCCTGATAACTTATTAACTCCTTTTCAGCTTTGTAACGACACCGAAAAGAAAATGAATGCAGCCTACACCTTTGCCACTTCATACTCGAGCAGTGTAGGTATTGGTTTCGGGGGAGTTTTCAATGACAGGTTTTTGAAGGATTTGTATTTTTTTCACATCGTTATATATTATTATTATTTCATCTATTAGTGTATTGCATGTTTGAGAAAAGTTTTTACATTTGGAATGAGCCGGCAGATATTTTTTATGCTTTTAGGTTGAAACTTGCATTGTGCATTTGGTCTGTGAATCGCAGCATTTCATAAATTTAGAAGTCCTTATGTTTCCGTTGTTCTACAGTGTCAGCTCACAGCCCAGGATTTATGGAACAACTATGAAACCACCTTCTTTGATATGTGTATCCTTTGGTTAAGAACTACTGATTATAACAGGCATACACTATGTTTTGTTGCCGTAGACCTAGAGCTCTTTGGCCTCATATGAGTGGCTGTGGATTCATTGCTGAACCAAGCAGCTGAAAGAAACAAGATATTTTTCACTCCACTATATATTCCTACTTTGGCGGAAATCTTGTGAAATGAATGTTTGAAAGGCCTGCGAGTCAAAACCATTATTACATAGAACCCAAAGAGGAATCCTTCAATAATTTTTATAGAAAAATATCCAACGGGGACTTTGCCCAGTGCAAGGAGACGCAAACTGATTTTTTTTTCACTTTCCTGTTGTTCCACCAAATGCAACTTTTTGGTATTCGGAATAGTCAGATTAGAAAATTAAGGGTTAGACCCAGCTAAGTAAACACCAACATTTCCTTAAGTAACATGTCTTCCTTTGTTGCATTAAATGGCCCTAGAATTCTCCTGACTCCTCCTTCAAAAAAATCCTACAGAAGTAACAGCAAGTTGAAAGATACTTGATGTAAGTAGGCTTGGAAATTCAACACATCAGCCAAGCGTGGTACGTTTCCATTCCCAATTGTAATCAAAGTCAGTGGGTTTTTGCTTGATATGAGCTCCAGGAAATTAAAATAATAAGAAAAAAACACTTTATGCGTCTAAAGATCTTGCCAAGTTGGCTTTCTTCATGTGCAGTCCACATTACCTGGAATTTCTCCTGAACCGGCTCAGATCTTCAGTACACAGAGGGCACTAACACCAGACTTTACGCCGTCCCTGTCTTGTTAGATAACTACCAGAATGATGGCACATTTGAAAATCGGCGTGAGTACAATACTGATCATTGTAACTGTCACGAAGTTGCAAAAACAGGAAAACAAATTTCACTACCCAACTTCGTAATTGAAAAAAAGACACTTTCACTTATAAAGTACCTATTGTGCGTGTAACTTTAATTACTCCAATAACATGGAGTTAGATCTATGGTGGTGCACAAGGTACATGTATACACGTTTGCATGGTCTTTTATGTGAAACAGGGTATTTTTCCTCAGATTTTGATAAATTCTGTGCACAGTTTCTGCAGGAGATTTAAAGTTTGGGAGTTTGCATTTTTCCCTCTTTTGTCTAAGAATGACAAAAAATAATGATCTAAAAACAGCTGTTATTTATCTTGAGTTGGTAGTACATTGCCCAAGTCATAGCTACTGATGTGTGGCTCTGATATGAGTAGACTTGAAATCAAGTCGGTGATTGACCAGATGTGGTCCACCTTCCTTGTGATGCGTACGCGGTGCGGTTCGGTGTGCAGTTTAATAACGCTGGGACAGTCATTGCAACCTCGCTCCCCAATATGCGTGTTTGGCGGTGCCCAGCTACCGACTTGAACAATCTGCAAGCCTTTTGTGCACAACTTATGGGGCTACCAAAATTGGACAGAGCGCTCTGATTTGCTAAGAATCCTGATTATATGAATATTTATTTTAGGGGCAGTTTGATTGGTAAGTTGAACTTTAGTAACAACAACCACAGTCTTGTTCATTGAGGAGGGCATTTACATTTTAAAACGACGATTTACCATAAAAGCATTGTTTTCTTTTTACCCAGAAAAATAGCTAATAGATTTGTTCTTGAATAGTTATGTGTACTTGGTCTTTAAGCATCATGTGAAAAGGATGCAAGATATGAAAGAAACTGGCACTAGTCAAATCTACACGTGCATATATATTAAATGGATGATTCTGTTATGTACCGTCAGCTACAATTGGTGCTCTCCGTGGAAATGTATGAATATGCAGTGCAGTTGTTGCATGCATGAATATCCATCCAAAGTCAGGTTGATCAAATCGTTAGGGGGCACCGAAACCCGGTACTGAACAGCCCATGACCAGTTGTCGTTTCCGGGCCAAATCAGTGCAGTACCCTGTATTACGGCAACAGTGAACAGGCTCAACACTAATTGTAAAACCACACAGCATGCTGGCTGATATTGCTGTGGACAACAAACATGACCGACTAACGACTTGATTTCAAGTCTATAATATGAGCTCCACAGAGCAAAAAGAACAAAGGGTTACGTTCTCCAATCAGAGAGAATAACGGCAATGGGGATTTTCATTGTTGATTTTCACAGAGGAAAGTAGAAGTGCATGGCAGTTGACACGTCGCTTCTTCCTCGTTGACAATGTAAGTGGCAAGACGGCATCAGAAATAGCGGCTACAGTCATTCGCTATGCCAGCAGCATGGAACTCTTGTAAGTACCTGGCAAGTCCTTGCCAACTTGATGGAAAGAGCTTTAACCCTAACCCCCTAGGGTGTATGTAAAATCATATTGAAATTGGAGGAGTGGGACTGTTAGGGTTAACCCTAGAAGTGGCGCAGAGAGACCAAAATCTGATTCATGTGCCTTTTCTGTGATATATTGGTGTTGAATTTATTACAATCATTTTGGTACCATTTCATGAAATCAGACCCGTCACTGTTGCGAAATGCCAATTTTTGAAATACCTGTGGACAAAAATTGTAATTTTTGTAATGGATTAATGTGTTCGCCGATACATATCTAAGAGTGTGAACTACAAATGACCATAATTGACTGAATTGGAATTTCACAGATATGCTCATAATGCATATTTGTACACATACTAAGTTTCAAAAAGTTTGTAATGGGATTGTCAACATCTGTAGAGAAGCAAAGCGGCAGCCTCATCTTTCACTCCCTGACTTTAAAAAGTACCCAAAACTCAGCCCTCTTAGAATTAACATCCTTAATACTGCATATTTATGAAATGTAAAAAGTTACTGTGATATAAAGCCTTGAAAATGAAGATCAACTGCATGCAGAAATATCTAGAGAACCTTCTCTGAGTAAACGTAACTCTAGTATGAAAGCTCTGTGAAAGTTTGCTTGATTTTACCAACCCTTTAAACAGAAAAAAAATTGTTTGATAGCCGTTGGCTCCTAATGGGGAAAAATCTAGGCACCAGCACTTCAACCCCTTCGCTACAGAGGACTGCTACCACCGCACCGTTGTGTGAGGGTTAGTGCATACCACACATACAGTCTATTCACCATGCAGCTGCTGGTTCAATGTGGGCCTGCTGCTGGACAGAGCTCTCCATTCAGAGCATACCACAGCCCAGCAGTCACGGTCAAAATAATCCTGCCATGAAAGGATTAATGAAAGTTTAGTAATCACATGCACTGAATAATACCCTGTACATGTTTACGTAGTCTGTTCGCTGAAATAGCCTGAGTTACTGAAAGCGCCATTAAAACAAAACAACATCATCCATGCCGTAGAATCATGACCCAGCCCAGCACACGTGCACCACACAACGTGCATATGCATGGATGTTCACGAGCGCTGCGCCGATGAGGTCAATCCACGAAATCCGGGTTCTCGCGGTTGCTAAGGGGCTCAGCCACGGACGTCATAACATCCGTAGTTTCTGCATGTTGGGGGGCACCCTGCTGCATGAATCGTGCTATTTCCGACACTCTAAATCACAGCGATACCCTTTAATTCTGGAATGAGGTTTCTTTCAGGCTTCATTTACGTAGCAGCCAAAAAAACCAGCAAAAAATTTTGCCCTAGCCTTTATTTATAAAACAGCCCTAGTGTCCATATAAAGTGCATCAACAACGTATGTTTAGATCGGAAACCAACCAACACGTGCGCCTGATCTCAACACATGTACATATACAATATGGTACATACATGTACATATATATGTACATGTACAGCACATACGGTAAGCTTTAAATTCATGATGCGACTTGCGCTGCCAAGAAACTCAATTCTGTCGGTGGTGTTAAATTGCCTCTTCCCCTCAGGATCACATTGCAGAACGAAGCAGGGCAAACAAGAGAGGGTAAAATCTATCCACCACTCCTCAAGATCCAGTACAGTGAGCTAGTCTATGAGGATGATTACGATGCCAACACAGAGGTGACGGTAAGTTGCCAAGCAACATCTCAGCCTAAGTAGTGTGGCACTTTGTGCATGTAGCTTGGCACTGGGTCGGAGGAGGACTGAATCTAAAGTGGAAGTGGCATTTCTGATGTAAATCAAGAATACATCAAGCAGTTTGTTGCGGTTGTTGATATTTTATTAATTTATTCTTCGAATTTTACAGGATTTTTTGTTTATTAGACAGTTACATATATCCGTATTACTGAGATGCATCAAGCCCCTTTTGAAGGAATGGTGAGTGGGGCCTGCCTTTTTAAGCTTCAAAAATTCTTCAAACTTTCATGGATTCTGAAGCCAAATTTAACCTCTTTTTTGTGATACTTTTGTCCTGTTCCTTGCAGGTGTCATTCCGAGTGACGTATGAAATGAGCCGCGACTACGGAGAGAATGCTCTCTCCACTGCCCTGGGGATCTTGAGTGGCATCGGGGTGGTGTGGGCACTCGTCAGGTCTAACGCTTGGAGGCGTAGAGCAGGCCTAATCTACATCGACATCAAGGTAGGACCTCGTGACTACCGTGCTGTTGCTTTCAGGTTCAGTTCCTGATTGGAATGAACTCTTTCATTTTCTGGTCTCCATGGACATTCATCCAGGAAACCAAGATGTGTACATGTATCGCATAGAACAAGAAACACATCTAAGTAATTCGACAACCTGTTGAGTTCTGTAATAAATGACGTAATTCACCAATAACGTAATCGACTTTTATTTATTCTACAATTCAAGTGGTTTCTATGTTTCATCATTGAGAAATCATTGCAAAACGTAGCAATAATATGATATATAGTGCTGGATGTCTTGCTCACTTGTAGTTTCACAGTATGGGTTAGTTTCTATTTAGTTGAGCTTGGTTGGACCATATAGCATTTCTTTGAACTCAAATAACCAAAGGTAGCTGTGACCAGTAATTTTTTTTTTCCCAACGTTCCAGACGATGTTTAAATTCCTGTTCTTCAGCTTTGGCATGTTGGGTGACGTCTTCTTCGTCTGCCTGTTTGGAACGACATTATATTGGTTGTTCTTCTTCAAGGTGTGTCTTTGCAGCTTGGTTTTGAAATGGCAAAAAGTCTATGTGAATATTTTCATGGGAGAGGAGAGTTACCTTTGGTTGCAAATGTTGAAACAGGAGAAAAAATTTCAATAAAAATGAGGCTCAAACCCCTTCACATCTTCATTATAATTGCTTTAAGATCCACATGTTACATTTTCAAATTTTCAAGTAGGTTCTAAAAAAAAAGAGCATTTTTTGACTTCACATAACTAAATCTTTCTTTCACTCATAAGCAATGTACAATTTCAGTTCTGAACCCACCTGGAAAGAATTTTGATCCCGTTTGGCACGGGGGACTCGGCATGCCAGTTCTTCATAAATTTTTTATTGTCCCTGTCACACTATTGGGCCATTTTGCAAGCGTGTGCTAAAAGTCTAGACACTTGCAGTTGGTATCTTTTAGGACCACATGACCATGCTTTTTAGCCCAGGTAGAGCGGCTCTGAACCAAAGGTGGTGGCAACATGTACTTGTTTCAGGCAATGGAAGCTTTTCTCTTCCTGCAAAGCCCCAACTTTCAATTTTGTTGCCCTCTGCAAACCTCTACCTTTCTTCTACCCCTACAAAGCCTGCATTTCAATGAGCCTTTTTTCCCTGAAGCGTTCCTCATGTCTGAAATCCACCAGGATGCGTTGGAGGGACGGCTTAGGCTTTATGGAACCACAGCGTAGCCATCATTATTTTGCACGGGGCCTTATGTTCCTAGGAGTTTAATACCTTTACTTATGAAGAGTGTATCTTTGGTTTCCTACTAAGTGGAGATTCTTAAGAGGATTTTGAGAGGTTCTTAGCAAAACTGCGTATAATAGCTAGAGTTTTCTTCTTCTGTTATGTGACTCCCACCAAAAATGCTACCGGGCATATTTTACTGAAAACATGTTTTGTTCCCTCCTAACAGCGTCAAGATCTTGTGTACCTGGTCCTTCCCCACAAGGCTCAAGAGGTTTCCTTTATTTGGTATTTGTCCTTTGCCTTTTTCTGCAAGGTATGACCTCTCTCTATCAAGGTGTGCACTTTCTTGTATATGCAGATCCATAGGCACTTTTTCAATAGTTTAGTAGAGCCAATTCTGGGCAAAATTGGTGAGCCCCATTTGGACTCCCATATCTGGCCTCGGTTGCTCCGGTCGTGTACATTGTACATGTACCAAAGGATGAACGTTATTGCCTACAAAATTTGTGCTGCATTGCAAAGAGAAATTAATATAGTGCAGCCCATAGTCTCTAGTCTCAAACAAGTCGTTGACTTCATAAAGTGCAAATGCTAACATATTTTTGATCGCTATGTCAGATCAAAGGTTTAGGCTAGTGTTGGATTCAATAAATGCTAATAGACATTCCAAAAATGATGCGGATAGAGACAGTAAACGAAAGAGGCATTTCGTCCCCTTTGTTGAGAATGGTGGTATCCTTTAGTGGCATCAAGATCGAACTCAGGACTGTGCTTTGATGGTCATAAAACTTTCCTCTGAAGTAACCACGGACAGAGCCAAAGGCTGCTCATGAAAACAAGGAACTGCCAAAACACTGAACTAACCAGCAGCCATCGATCCAGAAAGTTCCTGATTCTGTCCACCGAATTGCCCCCTGTTCAAACTGGAATGGCTCGGTCGCTTCCACGTACAATAACCATCAAGATTTCATTACAAATGATCACACCAAGCTTGATGCAAGGGCAAGCTGTTCAACAGCCCAATCCATCAAGAAACTAATTGACAAAGAATCTCGTCAAATTCACCAAATTCTCTCATCTGCAGTCCCTGGACGTCCTGCATCTGATCGTCTACCAGTGCCTGGGCGACATCTTTCTGATTGACTGGGAGCGGTCAAGGGGTCGTGTTGTCCAGTCCAGTGACCCTGGCAACAACAAGGGGAGCGTGGCTCCCGTCAGCATCTGGAGGACCTATTTTGTTGCAAACGAATGGAATGAGCTGCAGGTAAGCAGAAACAGTACACGTGGCACAAAATACGGTAGAATGGGGCCAGTAAGTTACCCTCACATCAGCATGCTTCCCTGGTGGTTCTTACATTATTACCATGCCTTGAGTGCTCCACAACCTGTTATTTATGTGTATTAGTATGAAGGCAATATCTGGATTGAGACCAGAGGGTGATTTCTGTTTTGAAAAAGAAAATTAAAATCCATTTTTTCGTCGAATCTGACATGCAATTTTCTTCTGTCCATGTTTGACTGCAAAACGGAATAACAGCTTTGCAAGAATATAAAGCACTCTTCTGTTTCATCCAAACTACAGCTTCATTTCCTATTCACAAAATGCAAAATGTTGTTGGGTGTTCAAGCACTCATGGACATTTATAACTCTGGGGAAACACTGTTGAAGTGACTGGCCCCCTTCAATTTTTTTTGTGTCATGTAAGTATTGTTCACATTGCATGATTTTTATTCTGGGTAAATAACATTTCACTTCATCAGCTGTGATTTCACGCACAGATTCTGCAGGAATCTAGACTTCTCTCTTTTCCATTGGCCTGTATGCTTTCAAAAACAAGAATTAAATTTCATGGGGCAAAACACTGTTGATTTTTAATTTTAACCCTAACTCCCCAAAGTGATTTATTGGGAACCATACCCATTCACACAAATTCCAACACCATATGGTAAACTGTGCACAAAAACTGTTGGACTCTGTTTATTTTGGGTATGCCTGAACCCATGTTAAAGCACAAGCAGTTTAGGGGTGCAGTACCCAGTGCCTCAAATTCACACACTTTACTGGTGTTCAGTTCTGTGTGGTTAGGGTTAATATTGAAAGGTAACTTGTCAACCTGACATTGAAGTGGAAGAAGCTGACTTTAGACATAGGAGCAGATGACGTTAATTTAGAAATATTAAGGCAAATGACACTAAAATTCTGAGCAACTTTTGTTATACATAGTCATTTCCCTTTTTTAAACATCAGTATTAACTTCAGGCCGTACATTGCACACTCATTTTTCATTGAATAATTTCAAATTATGAAATAAAAATGCACTTGTTTGGAATGCTGTTGAAAACCAACAACAGGAGTGCAAACAAGAAAATGAAAATGCCAGGATAAATTATTTACTGAGACATGTGCTGCATTCTGTGATGTGCTGTTCCAGGAGATGAGACGAAGCAGTGTCTTCTTTCAGATGTCGGCAATGCTGTTTTTCTTGGAGGTAATAACGTCACTGATTACTTTCTGAACTCATCCCACAAAGCTTTACCTTGGGATTCGTTTATGTCTTATTTCCCCCACTTGTACAATACAAGAGACATAAAATTCACTTGACTTTTTTGCGTACGTGGAAGACCACCCAAACACGGAGAAGAACCTTGCAACTTGCACATTGTCAGGCAGCAGGGAACTGTGTGCAGAGACATTCGCAACAAGCCCCATTACAGTTGAACCGGGATGTAGGGGATGCCAGAAATTTCTTTTTTTAACTTCACCCTGTTCAAGTCATGATACTATGAAATAGAAACTTTTCCCCATGTTTTTCAAACCTGGAGCAACCTCTTGTAAAATATTCTCTCCTCCCCCGCAAGTTAGACATTTTATTCCCCAATAGTTTCAAGTGCATAAATACAAATTTGCACCAAGAACAAGGCAAGCAAAGAAACTAAGTGCACTGTACGTTTCTCGAGAAGGGACAGAGAAACTCAGCACTAGAACCTGTGCATCTACACTGACTAAATTTTAGGAGTCTTTGTCAAAATTACATTTAGTTTGCATGATGAATAGAGGTACATTTGAGTCGAGCAGATTTGAAGGAGACTCCAGAGTGAAACACTTGACATTTATCTGTTTCATCAGGCACGCAACTCTTCCTTGGATCAGCTGATTTCCTCATTTTTCACTTCACGCTCATGCCATTTAAAATTGAAAAAACACTGCACAAAGTCTTGTCAAGATTGGAATTTTCTCGGTTTTTTTGGGTCACAGTCAAAGTTGCGTGCCTGTAACGTTTTTTCTGTCCTCAAACCAGGTGATTGGTATGAAAAACCTGACCACGATGGATCCCCGCAGCGACGTCTACGTGGACCCCAGTACTTATCTGGGCGACCCCAGCAGGGTGCTGCGGTTTGCTGTAGCATCTGGATTGTACCTGTTGCTGTCGCTGCTACAGGTACGGACATCTTTAGTCATTGTCTTCATGGCTCTAAATAAGCAGAGACTCCCAGAATTCAACCTCTTTACCAATCCAGAGGGCAGCAAACAACTTTACCGTCCTATTATCAAGTCCTTTTAGGAGGATTTTAATAATTGCTTAATAGAAAAGATCATCAGTGTTAAGGCAAACCTGAACGTGGAAAGTCTTCCAGTACTTTTACTGTGAGCATACAAAATAATTGGTTTGTTTTGATCTTTAAATAACATTTTAAATTGGTATTTTACATTAAAGTTGATCTTAACTTACAGGAAAGCAGGATTCCTTAAAAGGTTTCTGTGAAATCCAGAATAAGAAGAACACATTTACTTGAAGTTTAATTTTGGCATAGGAACAATATGTATTCTTTCTCTCGAAATAATAATGCTCTTCAGCCTCGTTACTTGAATTTGTTTCTTGGAATGTGCGTGACCGTTGAGTAATAGACTGACATGCTGAAAGGTCTTGGAAACATCCAGGCTAGAACACCTCCCTATGAAATGACCCTTAAAGGAAGTGTCCATGTTGCCATGTTGGGTAGAAAAAAATGAAGAGAGCTTTATTTCACATTGAAAGACCCGTTGATAAACTGTATGAGGCTTGCGGATGCACCATGTAAGGAAAATTCTCTTGTGGAAGAAACACGGTTCTGAGAAGATGCTTCGATCATCCTCACTCTCCTAAGGACAACCAGAGCATCCTGGTCGAAATGTCAAGTTCCTACTCACTGGTTCTTTTAATAGCTACACTTCTTCCAAACGAGAGAGTTCTGTACGCAATGCAACCTCAAGCCTCATACAGTTCATTCGCCACCTTGCAAAGCTTCAAGTCTTACCTAGGGGAAGTGGGAACTCACTAGCAGTATTAACTAAATGCAGAAAGGTACAGTCTATGTAGCTCATTCAAGCTGAGGGTGGCACATTTGAAGGAATGTCTTTGGAAAGTCCATTAACCCTAACACTCCTCAATCCTTCACCTGTTGGAGGACTGAGGAGTGTTAGGGTTAATGTATCAGTGCATTTGGCAAAGCAGTGACAAGGAGATTTACAGTAACAAACCCTTCTGCAAGTTTTACTGCACATTGTGAATGTCATTGCTGCTCTTACATATAAATGCACTACAAGCCTGTTTCAGGAGGCATCAGGCAAGTTTTCCATATCTCATTCCCAGTGGATTTTCTTTGCCTTCATCTATGAGCGTTTCATCGCCGACAGTATGAGGAATTTCGTGGACCTGTGCTCCATGGCAAATGTAAGTTTGACCATTGGCTTTTCAGAGTATAACCTATCTTTGCTTTGATGATGTTATGGGGCCAGAATTTCATCCCAAGATGTCAGGATTTGCCCCGGGGCCCCTGAGAATGCAGTTCCAGACATTCAATCATAACCCTTTGTGCATTTCCACTGACCAATCCCTGGTCTTGTTACATCAGATCAGTGTGTTTGTCCTGATTGACAACACATTCGGCTATTACATCCATGGCCGCTCCGTCCACGGCTTTGCTGACACTGACATGAAGGACATGCGAGATCAGCTCAAGAGGGAAGAGGTAACAGCAATTTATTGTCTTGCAAGATCCTAGACTTGTAGCACTGGTGGCCTAGAAACTTTGCCGATGGTTGGGCTGTGCCAAATATCTGAATATTCAATCAATTATCGAATATTTGAATATTCGTATACAAAATATATGAAAAGGAAGGGAGAATTTTCTTCTGTTTTAAATAAGAAAAATTGCACCATGGAGGCTTGTTTCAAGCAGATTCAAATGAAAAGCAACAGAAATCTTACAATGATTCAAAAAGTAAATTATTCATTAAAAAATTTAAAAGGAATAGAAATTTTCAACAGGGCAAGAAATCTTGTTCATCTTTTCAATCTTGCTAAATTGTAGCTGGAGATACTCCATGACATGAGAAGCTATTACAGTGATTATAATGTACAAGTGTGTGCATTATTGCAGCTGATTTTGTATATGGTTTAATCATCATTGTCAACAATCTGCCGTTCGTTAAGACCAAATAGTCAGATATTCAATCAAATTGAAGGTTGAAGATATGAATAGTGAATCATTTGAATTGACTCAGCCCCAGGCAATGGACTTTAAGACTGCTGCACGCATATGTCACTGTCACTCGCCTGTAGTTTTACTCTTTTGAGTTCAGTAAACGCATAGAACTATGCTAATTTACCTGAATGGTGGTTCCACACCCTCATACTCAGAAGCCTATAGACTATAGCAGTCTGGATGCAGCCACGTTCAAGTGTGCTTCCTTGCAGGGCATGCTCAAATAACATGGAGTTCAATTTAATAGTGTTCAATTCAATTCTTAATAGACATTTACAACAGCATAAAATCACAGCTGACCCTATCTATGGGGTGTGCAGACAAGTATGCCTTGTTTAGTGCAGAGCAAGGTGGAAAGAAGTCTTTTGATATCTTACAAAAGAACCATTCTAAAAACCTACAAAAATTTCAAGGTTTCCACGAACTTGTGGCACCAACATGACTGCAAGTAGCAGGCTAGATTTCGTTTGACAAAATTAATTAGCTTTACAGCTTAACAGGCTAAAGTAATGATCCCAACTGGCAAACTTCCACAAATAAAGAAGTAACAAGATCATGAAGAGACTTTGCCGGTAAAGCAAAACATGGACATACAGGTGCGCAGATTGAACAGTAACCTGGCACTCTGTTGTGCCCAATAGTATGCAGAAAATGTGATGTATTCCTTGGGACTTTTTTGGCCCCCGACAGGATAATCTCTGTGGTCAGAGAGGCCTACTGCCCAACAGCGAGCAGCAGACCTTTGAGATCTTACTGCCCCTAAAGTTCAGAGAACAGTACAACACCATACTGAAACCCCTGGTAAGTATGGATCTTACCCGGCGCGCTCAACTGTACACTTAGCCATCCCTTTAGCACAAACCTGCGAGAGCCATGTCATATACATACATGAACATTTTAAAATGTACAGCAGTCAAGCGCTGTTGGACACAGTGCAAATGCAGTTTCTGACTGGAGTTTCGAAGTGTATCATAGAGCTCTAACCTTACGTACCTAGTGTTGACTTGTGAACAAAAGATGTCCACACAATGCAGGGAAGGAAGATGTTCTGTGGACTTACACATGTCCACAGGACGTTTCCCCTTCTCTGAAAAAGAAGTTTAGAGGCAATTTGGGGATGGGGTCACCTGTCGTAAAAGAAAGAGGAATAGTCAAGGAAACCTTGTACAAAAAGCCAGCTGAAAATTGTGTTCTCAGTTCAAGAAAAACAAGTATTTTCACTGAGTTTTCTTAACTGCACGAAAAGAAAGGAATGTCCACAGTAGGTATGTAAGGTAAGTGGGTGTGTGTTCACCGGTGTTCATCGCGTGGATGGGACTTTAAAATTGCACTGTAGGTGTGCTTTATAATTCCATTGACTACTTCATTACTACAGGTCTTAGAGACCTGTTCAGTATGGCTGGTCTTTAACGCTCCCAGTGCCCTGAAGATGTCGTAAAGGGAAAATCTAGAACCTTCATTTCCACTTACACTGTAAGGAAAGTGCATAGTCACGAGAAGGTCAGAGTCACAAGAGGGCGTCGGTGGTGATCAGTCCCCTTTGTGTACAATGAAAGTGAAGTTTTCCCCTCGATCTATTGTGAGCCATCTTACAAGACCTCATAGATTCCAGTGGCTGTGAATGCTGTGACACGCACACATCTCCCTTGTCTACACAAGCCGTTTCTGACGTGTAGACTTGTCGAATTGGTTCTAATTACAGGATGGTGTCGCAGCAAGAATTGATGGCACAAGAGGTAATATAACATTTTCAAATGTGTCATATTGGGAAAAATGTTTTAGGGAAAATGCACTTGTTTACAGTCGTTTTTAACTTTAAAAGAAGTGTGTTTAACATGTCTACAGGTTAGCAAAGAAAGTTCTTTGCCTTGTGTGTGTGTCATAATTATAGTAGGTACTGAAGGGCATAATGAAATGTGGGTTTGCGAATTTTGTGGGAAAATTAGAACTACATGTATATGTAAAACGGTCCCTGAAGGGTTTGAATCTTTTAGTCTAAACACCAGACAGTGGCATGAATGCGTGCATTTCATTCAGTCAGCTGGATCTAACATATCCTTTTGTTTTTCATAGGTCGTCCAGATGCCGGTAGAAACCAAGAGGCAGAAAAGTCCATCCAGGCATACCAGACCATGAATCGGTTCTTGTGCACTTTCCTTGATCACGTAAGTTAACAGTGTGTGTGAGGCATTTGTAGCAAAATGAGAGGGAAATGGCACAGGCGGATAGTTGAGAAAATGGGGAAAAAAAGGTTGGTGGCCATGTTGGACTTTGGCATGTAGTAATTCAGGGAGGATTTTATTCCAGCTTTTTGTAGCAGCAGACCCTGGTTTTGAGCTCTGACCAGGTCTATCTTATATTCTTTCCAGAACATTTGGTATGATTTAACATGTTTACCCAACTCCTCTCATAGTTCTGGAATACCTCACATATAACCCAGTTTCACTGTCAATCTGTATTGGCATTCTGCCATGAGAGAAGACAGGAGCTGGATGCATGATACAACAAGAACCGTTAAATACTATATGAAAACCACACCAAGACACGGTCAATAACCTTGAGGAAATAAACTGACTGCATTACAGTATGAGAGGGCCTGACCGGAACCAGACCTGAGCCCAATTTCATGGCACTGCCTAACTATTAGCAGATAAGTCGTGCCTACTGTAGCAGATAAGTGTCCTAACCATAAGCACTGTATACGATGGTGCTTGGCGTGGTTGTGCTTAGGGTTGCGCCCAGCATAGAGATTTTCATTCATTTGTTACCACTTTGAGCAGATTTTTCCCCTGAGGTAAGTTTGCCTTTTGCCGCACTAACCACTTACAGTCTTCATGAAATCCACAGAGCCTCTATCAGGATAAAATTGTGTGCTTGGCAGTACCGTGAATTTGGGTCCTGAATCTAGAGCCAAATTCAAAGCCAGAACAAAAGACTTCGGTCAGATGAGTACTTCATGAGCAGTAGACCAGTATAGGAATGACATGTGCACGTAGAGTCTTTGTGTAAAGTGAAAACCAATTCAAGAGCTGTGAGTTGGAACCAGACTTGATACCGAAACAGAATCACAGATAGTTTCCATGTCTTGGACCGCCAAGTGTGAGACTAGTGTCTCATTTTTGTTGGGGCTTTTTTGTTTTTTGTGACTTTGTTGTCATTACAGGGCATTCGTGATATCGACTACATCGTCAAGGACAAGCTTCTGCTGGAACAGATTCTGGACATGGAGTTCTACGATCCAGCTGACAAGGGATTTTTCTTCAACGGTAAGCCAGTCTGTTTTATCATTATATATGATTAGAACTCATAGCAAGTGTGTCTTGACTAAGCCGCCAAGGCTCATTAGGCCGGTGTTCAGCTCCAGTTCTCCGTGCAATGAAACGACTGAGAACATTTCTATTCCACCCCTGAATGATGGGACAGTAGTCCATCACAGCTCACTCCTCAGCAAATGCTGGTACCCAGTTCTACTTCTAGGTGAAGAGAGGCAAGCAGGGGTAAAAGGACTTGCCCTAGGAACAAAACTTATGGCCAGCAACTGGAAATAAATCCCTGACCTTCATGAGTCACAGCCATATCAAGCACTGGGCCATATTCCCTTCTTCATGCATGGGGATAAAAATGACTGTACTAAGGAGTCTGTGTAGAGCACCTGTGAAATTCTGAAAACAACATGCAGAAGCGCTGGAGGAAACAGCTGCATATGTACTGTGCTTGAAAGCTTGTGTAAGAATGAAAACAAAAGCAAGAGCTTGTTTAGAAAAACAGGCTGTATGGTCATATCCACCTCAAGCAGAAGCACCCCCTCATCGGTTGAAAAGAGCCACGCTAATCGGGAGCATTCATTTTGCTGATAGTGATGCGACTGTGATATGTGCATTTCCTGGTCATTAGTGAACCAGCGAAGTTCAGTCCCAACAGAAGGGGCCTCCGTTGCTGAGAAAATAGCCCCCTCTTTTGACCCAGCTCAAGGCCCATATGACCTATCAGCCACCATGTTTGATCAACTGATAAAGGTTTCTAGATTTAGTTTTTTTCAGGGAACTAAACAGAATGTCGTCTTTCAGTGTAGTACATTTAAAAAGTGGGTAGCTATACTTCAGTTGAAATGCTACTGGCTGTTAAAGTCTCATAATACCTTTGATAAATGAGGACAGAGTATGAAGAAGATTGTAAGCCATAATGAAAATGTCATTATTAAAGTCAAAACTCTCACCAATCTTATCTAAGGCAGCTGGTTTAGGCTGAACAGCCGTGCAAGAGAATATTGCTTGGAAATGCAATGGGTTAAGGTTGACAAGGAGCCGTTTTACTAAACAGATTGGAATGAATGAGTCATGCTGCACTGATGACATTGGTGCATTGGCTGTGCCCTTGGCACGAAAACCGTACACACTGTGCTGTTGCGAGGAAATGGGACACGTACATGTGAAGATTCTTTACTTAGTCTTTTACCAGATCCCGTACCGAAGCTCTTGTTTTTGCTGTAGGGTTAAAACTGGCTGTTAAATGACCCAGGTCCTCATTATTTCTCCGTCTTTCCCTGTCTCTTTGCAAGATGGCGGCCATGCCTTTAACAATGCCCTGTTCCATGGCAACGAGTCCACTCTGCAGCTCTTTGAGCTGCTGCTGTTCTGCATCGTTGATCTGATGTTCACCAACTTTGTGCTGGCAGCAATCGTCACTTACATCGGCAGCTTAGTGAGTGACTATTCTCTCGTCAAGTTATGTCCGGTATTTAGTCAAGTTTATGGGATCTCTTGAGGGCTCCCTTCAACCTTATAATTGGATACCAAATATGGCTTCACGGTTGACTGTAAATGTAATGAGATGCAATGTGCTCACTGTCATACTTCACACAGTGCAACACTGTCATGACCGTAACTTGTAATCTGATTTACCTCCTCCGACAGTTCCTGCTCAAGGTCCGTGCTGCTGGAGGACGAGCCAATCTGGCCAAGAAGACGCTGGTGGATGAACGATTCCTGATTTGAGACAAGTACAGGTGCAGACCCTTAGTGACAAAGAAGAGCTTTGCTACGACTACAGAATTGCTTCTTTTTTTTTTTTACTTAGAGGCCATGACAGCTAGAAAGGATGTAAGTGGGCGTGACCTTGGAGCCTCACCAAAGGACCACGTTTGATACCATCACCAGTTTGTCTAACCTGTGTGAAATGCAAACATAGAAGAAGATAAATTAAACCAGTGAGGGCATAATGTGAAAAACTCAGGCAACTTGAACTGGGACACATGCAGCCGTCAAAACAAGGGTTTTTCTGGTCAGAATAGGAATGAGATTAGCCTTACAACATTGTTGGTTGGACTTCATTTATAGGTTCTGTTGACAAGTTACAAAGGTCTGAGTTTGCATTCATGGGCTTCTCAGAAAAATACCGGAAACTTAAGTACTTAAAGTTCCGAGTTACGTATTAATTTGTAAAAATGAAACACCGAGTATTTCTTGAAAGCACTTGCAAATTTTCCATAATTTATGTACTTGTGGACATACCTAAGAGTACAAATAACAATACATATGCAAAAGAAATAAAAAAATCAAAATTTTCCCACGTTTACTTAATGCATTTTTCACCACTTCAGCCCAGTTCCATCTTCTCACTTTGCCAGAACACTGAACACCTGTACATAAATGCCAGCCCAGATTACATGTGTGTCTTCATTACATTACATGTACATTGTGCAGCTGTAAAAGTGAGTTCACCCTAGCTCAAATGAGGGCAGCAATGAACATTATTAGTTCCTGCTGCAGTGCAGTTGATGGACTGAGACATACCACAGGCTTGACTTCGGACAAGGACCATTGAAGAATACACTACTGTGGGTTGTGCTTATGCACACAAATTTCATGGAGCACTTGTACTGCCACTTTGCCCACTGTGATGTGCACAGTCCCAAAGCATCTGCAGTAGTGTGACTAGACTGCTCTCAGTGGGTGCTCCAACAGCTGCGTATCCAGCTTTTGGCTTGGGGGGGAGGAATTCAAAAGGGAATGTGGCTTTAGCCTTACGTATTCAACATGATAATGGGGCAGAAAAAATATCAAAAGCCTATTTATATGATAAATACTGATTACTTTCTTTCCTTCTCCCCTATGAAGTATTCTTAGTTAAACAAAAAAATCCATTGGGGGCAAGTTGCCCCTCCCCCCCCGGCCCCCTCACTGGATACGTCACTGCACTCCAATGTGGGTTGCCGCTTCAACCTTTACACCGTCGGGTACAGAATGAAACCAGCTATGACTGCAACACTGCACGTCCATTGTGAGGTGGCAAAGGAACAGCAGCGCATGTGGCACACCTGATCAACTGTATTAATTAATGGCCTCCTTGCGTTGATTATATATAACGGGTTTGCCCATACCCAACGTATATTAATAAGCACTGTATGCTCAGGGCTTGTCGGAGAGCTTACGAAAAAAACCTCACAAGCTTACTCGGGTGGGACTCGAACCCACGACCTCCTGCTTACTAGCGCAGATGTCTTAACCACCGAGCTTGCCGGGGTCGGCTGGCCGGTCTGAGTCAAATAAAGCAGTGGGTACCGCGAACTATTTTCAAGATGTATTTTTGCGTTAGGGAGATGTTGATTATATATAACGGGTTTGCCCTTACTCCTTGCGTTGGTTGAATTATACTTGATTTCTGGCTTGCTAGTTTTAGCTCTAAAAGCTCTGTTGGTACAGAAAGCATTTGTGTCATGTGAAGAGTGTGGTATTCCCTCGACCGGCCATATCTTTTAATCGATGTCGTCTGTGCAATACAGACTGTACATTTTCACGTGCTAGAAAGCTGCGGGCAATAACACTTGGCAGAAGCTTGGCTTCCACGATGTCGGTCAGTGAGTGAATTATGGTAATTTTCCATACAGATAGTCAAAGAGTGGAGCTTTTGGGGGGCAAAAGTTGGGGAAACGTGCTATATTCAGACCATGAATTCAAAATTATTTTCAAAGTAGGTAATTCAAAATGCTTATTCACACAGAAAGGGTTTTCATTAATGCTGTGTTGGACCACTGTTCTTTGTACATCATGTGATATAGAGTGTCATATGTTATTAAAACCTCGTTCCTGTAGGTAGTACAGTACTGCACATCTTTTTGATATGTACTTGTGTGATGTTTGTTTTGGTCTTTCCCACTGAATTCTTCAATATCATTCAGTTGTCTTTGCACTTCCATGACTTTAAAATGTAAATACGCAGCCATTCTCATCTAATGTTGTTGAATTTATTTGGAATTGCCGATTTCAGTTTTAAACAAAAAGTAAATGTGCCTATAGAGGTTTTTCATATGACGTGATATGACGGGCAAAGGCGTTTTAGGAAGCGCACCATGTCCGTGGAGGCACATTCATTTTCGAATCTTTTGTATTTTCTTTGGCTGTTTTATGTACGACAGAACGTTTACAGACTTCGAAGACGCATGCCTTTCTGTGCACATCTGTGTAAATTGAACTCTGACCGTCAAAATTACGTGACTGAAAAACCTCTATCTAATTTGAACAATTATGTTCAAAAAATCTGCATTGGAATTAACCACTGGAGCTAGTACTTTTAAAAATATTTTAATGCGTGGTACTGAGGTTTTTATGCGCTCAGCAAACAATCTAAATATGATTGAAATTCGACGAGAACCTTACAGCATGCAATTCGGGCATATTACTACGTACTGAGGTATTTGACTCGAAAAGGTTCCAAACAATAAGTTCATGAATTGTCATGGAATATGTGTAAATGAGATTATACAGTTATCTGTACATGTATATAGTTCTGATCTGTTGTTGCGAGTGAGCAAGAGTTTTGAGAAATGAACCAGTGTGCTTTCAAAAATTATAGTATCGGTGTTACCATTTGTTTCAAAGTGTGTTATGCAGTTGGCCTTTTCCATCCTTTCACCTTGAGCATAATCACACACATGGCTGCAGCATTTGCCCCAGCCTGGTTAGATATTCGAACTTGTCATGTCCATTACGTGGCAGTCAGCCCGTCACGGTCACAGCTATTGTGTGCCCTACTGGACACAGTTTCACCCGCTCATATAAACCCTAACCCAAAGTTGGCAGCAAGACGTTTGGTGGAAGTCTCAGGTCTGAAGTCAAGTCACAAGTCAAAGATGGTAGCTACAAGTCGCCGAGTCGCAAAAAATAGCCACTCGAGTTCAACTTAGAGTACAAGTTCAGCAACTCGGCCCTAATCCCCACGGGATGTGAAAAATCAAAATTGGGAGGATCCAGGATTATTAGATTTAAAGTTCATAGATTTAAGCCGTCACCGAAAAATTTGCGTAAGGTTATTATTTTATTTTATTTATTTATTTATTTTGGTCTCTCAATAAGTGCAGCGCTAGGGGCGATTTCGGCTGTTCAGTGACAGATAGGCCTACTTGTAATTTATGACGGTCTGAGGGGGCCCTAGGGGTAGGGGCTTCGAAAGCTGCTTGGTGTCTGTCTCTGGAATGAGCCAGTTGGGTATTTCCGCAGCGTCTGCCTAAAATGAAGCGTGTTTGAGGTCATTTGGGAATAGCAAGACGCGCATGTTTTCCCGAATGACTTTATAACTTTGAAATACTTAGATTTCTCATTGTCATTGTTTTTAACATTTCTGAACAGTGCACGTGATCTCAAGGGGCGCCTCCACCCACAACATATTTGTAAGCTCGTGGAAAATGACGAAAAAAAATGGATGACCCTAGAATTAAAATTTTAGATCCATTTTTGGTGAATTACTTTTGATCATGAATCGGAATCAGTGCAAGTCAACCAACCAATGTAAGAAACTCAACAATTTTGAAGATGGCAGACAGAATGAATCTCGAACTTAGAACTCCACATTGGCAACAATACGTATCGTGTAATTGGGCAACCAGAATTAGAAGCCACTGCTGCGCGGCGATTGCGCAATGTTCGTTGACAGGTGTTACGCGCGCGTTACATACCTCTTTCCACCAATCCGGTTCACAAGTGTGATGTCACCAGTTTAAACCGCACCCATTGCTTATGCACTGCACATAGAGTTACATGCATTGATCGGCGTTTACATGGAACCATGGAACCGGAAGTTAACGAGTAATTTCACCGATCGTCCAATGGGAGCCTACAAATCGTTGCACGTCCGCCTCTGTGACGAAGTCACGAACCGGATAGATTGTCGTGATATGACGAATGTACGTGCGTGCCAAGATGAAGATTGTGCGTATGAGTGCGGTGCCGCCATTGATCTCCAACTTAACTTGATCACCTTTGGAGATCGATGGGTGTCACCTTCGTTATGGCATCTTACAGATAGCCAACTCTCAGGAGACGCCATACCTGCGGGGCCATTGCACTCACACTCGTGTCCTAACTTCACCCCTGCAAACTTTGCAGAGTCATAACACCCAGAGAGGATTATATGCAACGCGCTCGTCTCACCTGCATGCTGACAGAATGGTCCCGCAGTAATGGCTTCATGCCGGATTTGTCCGCGAACGTGCATTAACAAAGTGTCCAGATTGAATGAGAGTGTGAATAGTTCACTTCCGATTATTGGAACCATATAGGTATCTCCTAATGGAACAGGGTACATGTACCTTATTGGCCAAGCAAAAGAGGAGTCTTGGGTTTTGTGGTTTGATTTGTGTTTATAGGGACGGGCAGGCCCGGTTCTACGGAGGGGGAGCCGAGCCCCCCCCCCCAAATGTTACCAAGCTTCCCCTCCCCCAGCAAAAAAATGAAAGAGCAGCAGTTAAAGTTAAAGGTGACGTCACGTGCGAAGGGTCTATCCCCCCCCAAAAAAAATTGGCTCAACAAGCGCGCCTGGGGACGGGGCGTAATCATACATGTCACCTCTACGTGTTAAGTGGAGTGGAGTTTGGCAGGGACCTACTCGCATTCTTTTTAATATTCAACAGACTGATATGGCGACTGGGTTGGATGTGCTCTTGAAGTTCTAACTTGTTTTCTATATATTTGTTACTTAGTTTATATAGGAAGCGCTGTTTCTTTTATTTGCGCTGTGTCATTATTTTGTTTCTCGCAAGTGCACTGGTTCGTCTACGCAAAAGAGTTCCCACGTACGGTCCGTAATTTTCACCAGCAGGAACTATATGCTAGCTGTTGGGGAAAATCCGTGATTAGCGCAACAGTAATCATATTCAGTTTTGCTTATTAAGGAAAAAATTGCGGCCCGGTAGGGTCAGTACTTGTGGGGGCGTAATCATACAAGGGAAAACTGGTGTGTGCAAACAAAGTTCAAAGAACAACCTGTTCATGTTAGTTTTTTTAAAACGAGGTTTTGGGAATTTCCTAAGAATGTTGCTGCCGTGAATTTCAATTTTTTTTGGGGGGGGTGAATTCCAAACCTACACGCCACTTTTTTTTATTTTGTTTCTCAAGGAGTTGGCCTCGAGGCCAGTTGTCACTGCAGTAACTGTTCATCCATTTTTACGAGTCATTTCATATTCTCACGCGACCCCGGACCTGGGTTTCATGTTACTCATCAGTTTTGAATATGGCCATTTCGCAATTGTGGCCGTGAAGACCCACCCTAATTGAAAGAAAAAGTAGGGAGATTTTATTTTCACAATTCAGATGCAACGAATCAGATGTGTAGTTCACAGATTTGGCGAGTCGGCTGTAATGGAACGATTTGTTTTTCTATCCAAATCTGGGACGTTGTGTAATAACTTCCAAGCGATAAACAACCCTCGGATGTGGTAAACAGTGGGCATTAGCACCCTTCCTCTTTTGTCCGTATAAGCTCAACATTAAGCAGTCTCTTCGATGCCTTCCTCCTTCGTTTATTGCACAGTTCATTTACAACCACAAAGTCTGGTATTGTTTCGAGGTTTGTTTATTGTGGGCAAACAAGAAACATCCACAGTCGGCGCAGATCATGAAAGCTCGTGCACCATCGGGGGAACATAAAACGAGCAAAGCCGCACGCCAATCACGAAGGAGGTCAGGTGAAATAAGCTGTCGAAACTTGCCCCCCTCAAAGCATCCAGGCCAGCCGACCCGAAATATCCCACACGTCGTTTTCCCAACCTGGAAGTCACATCTGGCCACATCCTGACGTCTAGTGGTCATGCAGTGTTTCTAGTTTGCAAAACCACATGTTTGATCCCACAGTTGAAAGATAACAAAATCTAAGTCTCCACGCCACCAGCCAACGAATGCAGTCCAGAGTTGGTAAAATACGAAACACCAACGGACTGCCACTTTCAGAGAACTTATCATCGTGTTCTGTTGTGGGTGACTTCTCGTTTGTTTTCAAAATGGAGCTCAAACTGGGTTGCTGTGTTGTGATGCTGGTCGTCTTGCTCGTGGGAAGTGGAAAGTGTCAGACGGTGGGCTTTGACACTGCACGTGAATGTGTGGAGGGGGAGAACTCGTCGTTGCCTGTTTCCAGTGCATGCAGGGAGCACTCGTCCACAAATAGCAGTATAGCCGCTGATGGCAACTCCAGCACAACCACCTCTCCGCATGGAGCCGGCGTCGAGGAGAGCTCGGAGGTAAAATTTCATCGTTCTTTTTCTCTTCTCCTTTACGAAAGAAAAAAAAGATTCCACCATGGTGTCAGTAGAGTGTCGTGGACTCTTGGAAATTAGGAAAAGAATCTGTTGTTGGGTTCCCTGTCTATATTTTCTTTCTTTCATGCTCGAAGGAACAGAGAGGAGAAGATTATTTGGGGGCATTGAAAATAACTAATAAGTAAACATTTAATTTAATTCAAAAATCCTTACTTACATGACGTACTCTTTAAAACTTTACAGCTGTGTTTTAGACGTATAAGATAATTCCAAGCATGGATGAAATGATTAAAATTAGGAGAAACGAAACAAATGTGTAATTATTATATAACATGTTCGATGCTCTTCGATCAGGCATATCATGTCAGGTGTATCAGATCAAACCTCCAGTCCAGGTGGGCCAAATTGACGGCCTTCGTAGGTTCTGAGCAATTTTGTTAATCATTTTGTACGTACGCGTATAAATGCATTCCTTGTTGTATATACTTTCTTTTCCCCTGTAAGAGCTTCTTAAAGTAATCATGATTGTGTGCCAGTTTTAAGAGAGAGCTCATTTTTTTACAAAAGATACAGTTATTGCACCTTGCCCTAACACTTTTTTAATGCAACTGGTTACCACTGGTTACGAATAAACCGACAATTGCAAAGGGCACTGAAAATGTGCATACAATTTCTACAGTGTTTTGTTCATTTGCAACCACCTATAGTCGGGTTCTCGATCTTCTTTCTTCTCCTGTTTATGAATTGGGAGGTTGGTACCCTTCCCCCTTGCTGCACCTCCTTCTCTTCCGCAGCTCCCTTTTTTGTTTTCAAAGAATATCGGTTGGTGCACAATGCACGAAGATTATTGAAATTGTTAATGGATTGATTATGCAGATACCAATTGTTGCCAACATTGTTAGGATCGTTATATTTTGTGTGTTCACTGCATATTGTAGATCGTCACAACAGATGCTTCACATGTTGTCACCAAGGCAAGCTCAATTACTGACACCACAACTTCGCCAACGGTGGCATCGGAAGGAGCAGCTACGACGTCAGAGGGTGGAGCGGTAAACGTGACGCCCTCGTCAGCAGTATCCACTGCCAGTGTTGACGGTGCCGAAGAAGCAGCTTTGGAGGACTTAGCCGCAGAATCAGCTACGCCGTCAGCTACCACCGCCGACCTGGCCACAGAATCAAACTCTGACATCAGCACTGCGCCGACATCCGCCGCCGATGACGTCACCACTGACCCATCAACTACTAGCTCATCCACTAGTCCTACAGAGGCCACTGTAACGCCAGGTCCGAAAACTACAGGTGGGTTCATAGGCTATTGGGGGGTAAATGCCTTTGGCTCCAGCATGGTGTCTCCATTCGGAAGCAGATCCGGTTGGTTGAATCCCCCTGCCCCCCATCTGAGACAAAAAGGGGGGATAATTTAATAATAACTAAAGTAAATTTGAAAACAAGATAGCATCCTGCAAGATTCTTCTTGCATGTACACCAATACCACTGTAAACGATGTATTCATGTATGTTTCATCATCATTTCCGCTCGTCCGCAAAATTGAGACATTAAAAAAAGGATTCCGGTCTGACCATCCCCCAGAAATTTTCCTGGATCCGCCCCTGCCATGTGGACTTAATTTATCTTCACTCGCATCATTTTTAAGCTAACTAACCTTCGTTTTTACATTTTTAAATAACAGAGTGTTGATTGTTGTTTCTTCTCTGTACTTAATTTACATAACGCTAACGCACGATGTATTACAAGAATTGGTGATTGTTTACCTGCTTACTATTTTATATAGTTGAAACAGCCTTGAAATTTTGCCCAGCGTTATCTACATGTACCAAACAAAGGCCTAATTCGCGAATAAACAATAAGGGATAAACACCGCTGGTTATTATCAAACCCAGTCTAAAAATATGGGCCCAAAACTACTAATAATAAGTCATGGATTTAAGCCAACACTTTTCCTCTTGAAGCGTTTGGACAAACATTGCGTATCGAGGGAATTAAGGCAGTTTCACTACATCACGAGAAAAAGCAGTCAATATTTATTTTAAAGGGAAATGACACCTTTGGTTTTTCGTCGTAATTGAACTTGTTAATTTGATCAAACTGCAGTATAAAAGTAAGTCTATTCCAATAAGAAATTTGTCGCTAATTGATCAATACTTTTCCAATGTTTGAATCCATCAGCTCCACTACCGGTAGCACTTCTTAATACGCGTACATTTACGCGCACACCAGTATACATTTTGCATACGGTGCAGGTGGTCATGGGTGAAGTTCTTTAGTTGTGACGGGTATAGCGCTTTGATCGCCCCGAGCTGAAGTGCACCCCCAATCGGCGAAAGAAAGACGTGGTTACAAGGGCGTCCTGAGTGAAAGACCATACATGCCGGAACAATTAGTTACGCGTACTCAGCGTGCTCCGCGTCAAACGCGCATATACTGTACTTGCGCGCCTCATGGCGCGCCTATGCGGTGACTACCAAAAAACACGCCCTCTTTTGTTCTGCTCGGAGCGGATAGGGTATAGTTCTTTTGGCGGAGCAAATTAGAAAAAATGGCGAATGCAATATGACTTACGCTATTTCTTCTCTTAATAAGAGCGAGTAAAAATCTGGAGGCTTTCATCTACCATCCGTCGGATACACATTGTAGGCCTACATATAGTTACATCATGCTCCTGGTTACCTCATGGTATTGCATGCAAATTCCGAAGATGTTTTAAACAGCTGGTCTGTTTTAACTTCGGACGGAATGTAGACCACGGTCTTTATCTAATTTGAAGCAGCAGAGAAGTCGAGGACATCTTGGTTGGAGTGGTCAAAGCATAGCTCTGTGGTCGAAGCATGGAGTAATTAAGCCATTGGCCAGAGATGCCACGCTTCTAATGATGAAATTCCTATGCTGATACATGCCAAAGCTCAAGAGCTTTGCATCATTCTAGAATGTGGGGTGTATAGGCTCAACACAATTTGATGATCAAACGTTTTCTACGAGTAAAATTTTGTCTTTGAGAAAGATTCTGCTAGGATCGAAACGTCAGGCCCTCCATATTTTGATTAAAATTTTGTGTTAAAAATATTCTCTTGCATGACCAGATTTTATTTTCCTGCTGTTGAAAGGCGTCACAGTCACCCAAGCACTTCAACGTCACCAGTCACTTTGCCTATTTTAATATCTCTTCTCCCACAACCGCTTTAGTCCTTCAGCCATTATGTTGCAATTACGCCGGGTATGCCCACGCCTACGCGCCACTTCTTCCGTGTGCTAAAGACTTAAAATAAAAAACAGCCTTAAGTTTGTAGCAGCCCCAAGTCGAAACAAGTTTATGGAGATCGGACGAAGTGGAAACGGGGCGAAGTGACTGGCAACCCTCAAGGGAGGTATTGTGAGCTCTCTTTGGGAATAGCTCTCAGCAATCTCTCCCCGGCAGTTACTGTCACGCAGGAAGATTAGATCGAGCAGGGCCGACGTGGTAATACCCTCCTCGTCTTTTCACGCCATGAAGTCTTCGTTTCAGTTTGGTTCGGGGTATAACGTTAGAATAGAGATTCTAGATAGCCCTATGACATATACATTGTATGCTTCCCCACAACAAACGACAGGTTTTCATCCTAATCTAAACTCGTCTGTCCAAAAATAATGACTGTTTTTATGTAGTGCAGTGATAATTTACTTTAAGGGAAGGCGTTTTATGAATACATTGTGTGCCGGTATCGTTGAAATGCGCACAGCGTTTGAGCGTACAAATTGTCAAACTGACGTGAAATGTGGGTGAGATTGTATGAAAAGCTGCTTCAAAGTCGTTTTATTTAGAACATACATGTATTCAGTCAAATTCAATTCAATCAAAAATAAATGCTCCACGTGGAAAAGTAAAACTGAATTCATTACACGAACCAATCTTTTGTAAAAAAAATCAGACATTCGGAAATATTACGGAATATTTATTGAAAAGAAAAAAATTGAATAACAGTTTATGTATGTTCGAACTGTATAAAATCACAAACTTAAAAGCAAAATTTGTTTGCATTTTCACAACCTGTTTTCCGAACGCTGACAATGCTTGTTCGCTTTTGTATTCGCTTAATAATATCACCTCCCAAATCTCGGAAATTCTAGACTGTAGTCCTTCGGAACCGTTGCGTCTGTATAACAAAATATCCTGTCTACATGAACATCACGCTGCCAAGGTTAGTGCCATCAATCGTTCAGGCCATCGATTATGAGGTTTTGGTTAACCTCAAAATTACCGTGAAATTTGTCGGCAGGTTAATGTGGTTGACCTGTGTGAGTTGGCGACTCCTCGGGCCTGTTGCGGATATACTGTATATATTGCCGCGCGGGCACTTTTATTATTAGAGAAGCGTGTGAATTCAATTGGGGTCTTCTAAGAAACGTTTGTCCATGAGCAACAGTCTGTATAAGTCATCATAAAAAAATGATAGTGACGGTCGAGCTATTGATTTATGTTGGGAGCGGTGTGGAAATGTTATTCTAAAGCCTGCTTTACCAAAATTTGGCTTAGCTTTTGCATCAATTGTGCTTTTATCAAGTTGCGTTCTTCCCCACGAGCGAAGTAAATTCGTTGAACTTTGATTTAAAGCTTTGCAAAAGATTAGATCAACTTGCTTTGATTTTTGCCAGATGTCATCGCTTTAATGGTTTCGCATTATTTTCTTCGCCACATCCTCGCACAATTTACATGAATTTTCGTTGAGTGGTTTGCATTTATTTCTTATCCGAACATTTACGTGTGCTTTGAAAAGTCATGTGATTACGTCGTCATCAACACCCCAAAGTAGGACTCATCCATAGATGTGTGCGGCGCTTCAGTGCGGATTTTACAGAAATGTGTTATTTTCATTTTTACAAAATAGCACTCCGCGTGCTTTGCGGCACATGCTCCGTGAATTGTCGTTTTCAGGAACTGACCTTTGTTACTGCACCTTTATGCCCTCTATTTTCGTTTCATTATTTCAGCGCTAACGTTTTCCAGATTTGTGAATATTTTGCTGTCCTTACTGTTCCTGGCAGTGGGCCAGTGGGAGACGTTTTCTCATAAAACATGTACACGGTACTTGCAATGAGCAGATTTATACTTTATGACTCGGTAATGAATATTTGAACATTGTCTTGACGATGACACCAAAGCAACGCAGCGCCTCTCTCATTTATTGAGAAAAGCCTTTTATTTAAATGTTTCAAAAAGTCTTTTTTTTTCAATCGGATTAAAAGAGAAAGACGAACGTGGTTTGTCATGAATTTAAGAGAACTACAAAAATGCACAGCATACACAAAATGATCTTTAAAGGGTAGCTGCAATCAATTCGTTTTATCACAGACCTTCAAAATACACCTCGCTGTCTCAGTTAACCTGATTTTCAACTTTTGTTTCACCTTTTCAATGGGTATTTTACTGACTGGTTGATTTTTATGCTGATAAGTATTACCATATTCACGACAGAACCGTGATGTCATCTGAGGACGAAAGCCTCAATGTTGCATTCGTTCGTACACAAAAAACCCTGCATTTTTTAAAGAGTTTGCTGGATGAAGTTTTCTCTCCTTTCCTGATCCATTGCTGTTTACGTGCATAGCAATATGCAAGCATCGATCCCTTTCTCAGAAAGTTTGCAACGTGTTAATTCTTGGTCACAGTTTTAACAGAAAAAACCTATGAACTGAATGATGTCTTCCCTGGATGACATCACAGCAACAGCGCCCTCAGCTGTCTACAAAAGCATAGATTTTTAAGTGTGTAAACAGTGCGCTTGTTAATGCATTTAACCAACATAAGGATATGAAAGAGTTTCAAACGTTGAAGAAGAGTACAACTAAGTTGGTCCATGCGTTATCGATATCTGTTTCAACAAGCTGAAATGTTGTGATATGGAAGTGACGACTTTGTTTTTCAGTGGAGCCATGTTTATTCGATAATGGAGGGTGTTCCGACATCTGTTTACCCAAACCGGAAGGAGGCTACGATTGTGAATGCTTCGAGGGACTGATTCTTGGGGAGGACAGCAAAACCTGTGAAGGTTAGGAACTCTGCAGAACGTCATATAGTAATAGACAGAATTCTCACTTTTAAAAAGTCTTATGAAGGGAAGAGTTACATGTACGGACGCCAGTAATTACTCCCTACAGTGACTTATTAACTGTCAGAAAGCAAAAACTTAAAATTTTTCAGATCTTGGATTTTCGTGAAGTTCAATTAATCATTAAAATATAAATTTACTTAGATCTAAATGAAATTTTCATTTCTATACAAAACCTCTCAACAGTGCTAGTGGAACAATTGCTGTTGAAAATTGTCACAGTATAAAAATGAAAGAAACACTACTCTGTGCAAAGGAAAGGTGACTGATATCAATGAAAATGAACCCCTCCCATATGCAGTGATTGACATTTTGCACTAGTCTGTCTCGTTTTACAATTTTTTCAGTTAGAATAATTTGTACATGCATATTGTGTCCCTGTTGATCCCACGATGAATTAGACAAAAACGAGTGCCTTGACAACCCCTGTGATGCCAACCAGGAGTGCTACAACATCTATGGCTCATTCTTCTGCTTCTGTTCACAAGGTTACATGGAGCTAGATGACGGGTATTGTGAAGGTAAGTATACATGTACATGTATATCCCTGAAAGACTGTGCAAATTTATGTCCCAATAGCCCAGTCCTAGGTACGGAAGCGTATTGCTGCCAACATGAAAAAATTGTTTTTATCTCATTTAAACGACTTGATTGTTTCGTTTAAACGAGATAGCTATGTCATTTAAACAAGATACAAAGTCATTTAAAGGAGATACTAAGTCGTTGAAACGAGATCGCTATGTCGTTTAAAAAAATAACTATGTTGTGTAAACCAGATAAAAAGTCGTTTAAATGAGATAATAAGTTGTTTAAACAATATAATAAGCCATTTAAAATAATTTTTCACATCAGTAGCAATTTGCTTCCGTACCAAGGCATGGGTTGAAGGGCCTATAAAAAAATCAGTGTCCTATATGAAAAACTTATTTATGAGTGTGTAATCATAGACCCCTTCAAGGTTAATAGTGAAACATACACTGACCTATACAGAAAAAAACATAACAATTTTAAGGTACTTTCCTGAAGTTTGATCTCTGAGAAAGCTTCTGAAAAAGAAACATTTTAAAAGCTTCTGTGCATGTTGCACTGTAAGAGAACTTATTGCCCCAGACTGCTAGCATAATATGAAGTTCCAGTGCGATTCAGCACTGTCAACCTCTATCCTTGTCATCTGTTTGCCACGAAAATATGTGGCTCTCTTAAAGCATTTATGCATATGTGCAATTATCTCAATGACACATCCTATTGCCTCATTTAGTCATTCTTAAAACTGGGCGTTTTATGCGTTCCCTGTACAAAGCAATGACAAATAGATGCTATGCTATCGTAAGCTTCACCCTTTTGCTCGATCCAATGATTTTACAACAAGAGATATCACTTGTACAAATAAAATGTTGTCACAATTGCAAGTGGTATTTTTGTGGCAAATGGATGTAACTTTCTTTGATGTTCTTCTTTGAAATTACTCTCTTCAAAGTGGTGAAACGTTTTAAGATTTTTTATCTCAGATTGTGATTTTGAGAGATACACCCTTGTTTTAATTAAATGACTGATTAATGAATACCTTTTAAAAGCGAAAATATGCAACTGAAATTAAAATTAAATGATTAAAATCTTTACAAGAAATTGTTGATATGGCAGATATCAACGAGTGTCTGGATGAACCGTGTGGTGCTAATGCTGGATGCAGAAATGTGCCAGGATCTTATGACTGCCTGTGCTTCCCTGGCTTCGTATCGACTCTAGAGGGCGTATGTGAAGGTTAGCACTAGCTAATGTCTACGTATGTGTGTGGAACTCTTTCCTTCATTTGAACAAAATCAGAAGTAATCCAACTTTCGGAGATGTTCTGTTACAGAAACATTATTGATTATTTTCAGGTAATTAAAAAAATATTAAGGTAAAACAATAGGAGTAGAAATGACCAATTGTGTAGTCCCTGATGTGTACTCTAATTCCCACAGACTTATTTGGGTGATCAGTGGTGATGTTGTAAGAACTTTATTTTATTTTTTTTTCTCAGATGTGAACGAGTGTGAGTTCCCGACGCTCTGGGAGGCCAGGTGCGGACCCAATTCTTTCTGCATCAACACTCCCGGTTCATATGATTGCGGCTGCGCAGATGGCTTCATGGCTGTGCCAATTATTGGCTGCCAGGGTAAGGCCACTCCCTCCCCCTGAAGTGCATGCATATCAAACTAAGTGAAATAGGAAAAAAAAAAACAAATTACGACCTTTGACTTTGAAGGAGTGGTTTGAACTTGAATGCAATTTCAGTCAATTCTAGAATTAAAATTTTATCAGTTCAGCATTTGTTCTTGTAGCGGTGTGGCTAAGGGGGGTGTGGGGGCGCACGCCGCCCAAGAAAAATCATCGCCCCCCTGTCGTCCCATCCCCCAATTTCATGTGACCACGATTATGTACATGTATATGTCTCACATCCAGTCAGCCCCCTCACTTTAAGATGAAGTCCCTCGCTTTCCCCTCCCCCGCTCAAAATTCTAGCTACTCTGCTATGTTCCTGTGTATGGTTGGGCTAATTGCACATATTAATTGAATCAGCTTTATTATTTTCAACATTTGACTGAGTATAATTAGTAAGCCTAAAGATCAGAATTCAAAAGGCGATAATTACTTGGGTACTTATCATTGCTTTCAGCATCATTATCAGTTTTAGCTTAAATTGTTTTACTCAATGTGTTTTACACATATATGTAGATGTTGTTGGTATTAAATGCAATCTTGAACCTTCCGCAACCCAGAATTGATTTGCCTTTGAATAACATCCATTCATAGGATAATCAACTCAGAAGGGAGTACTGTACAGTAAATTTGCTCAAGGTTCAAGATTGCACTTAACATTGGTTTTTAAGCTTAGATTTGTTGTTTATTTGTTGAGTTTGTATTTTTTGTGGTCGCATTGTGATTGGTTTTAAGGTTGGATTAAACAAATCGTTTTTAGGACTCCATCTGTGTTTATGTGTCTAATGAACTCTTTGAAAATAAAGATTCTTGGTGTAGTCCTACTGTACTTGTACACTGTCCGCCTTTCAGCTGTCTGTTATGAACCTGTGATAATAATAGTTATCATTATGTAATGTGCCATTCACCTGACCTTTTATTCCTCCATCCCTAACCCCCCCCCCAACCTGCTGCAGATGTCGATGAGTGTAGTTCATCTAATGTCTGTGATGGAGAGGGAGCTCTCTGTGTCAACACCGAGGGCAGCTTTCGGTGTGACTGCGATGTGGGCTATGAGCTTTCCACGGACGGAGACGGTGGTTGCAGAGGTGACTATTTGAGTTCCTCACAGACAAAATCTTATCTGAAATCTTGCCCAGAGTTGAAAAAAATTCCCCTTTGTTTTGTTGTCTTATAGGTTTTGTGTTTGGATTTTGTGGCTTAATGTATCTTTTAGTCTGTTTGTTTGTCTTTGATGTCATGTGTCGTTTTGCCGGTTACTTTTTATTGAGGCATAATATTTTCAACATCATTGCTGAATCAGTTTGCTTCTGTGTTTTCCACGTCAAATAGCTGATGTGAGCAAGGGTATCAAGGCAAATCTTTAAACAACCGTTTCACCCCTGGTGGTGGAAGGGGGGCAGGGAGCCAGTGGCCCCCCCTACTTTCTTGACAGAGGGGGGACTTAGCCCCCACTTCTGGAAGGTCCTATAATAGGATGGGGTGTAATGGATCGTTTTATTAATGACTGATGCCAGATAGTCTCACATCTGGCCCCTCCACTTTTAAAATCATTCTACCACCGCTGCATTTCATGCATGAACTTAATGTTATTATTTATTTTGAAAATTTGCCTATCCTGCAATCCATTTATTTGCTGTGGTTTTTTTTTTCCGGCCTTTCAGATATCGATGAGTGCAGATCTTCCGAGCTGGATGTGTGTTCTGGATCATCTCTTTGTCAGAACCTTCCTGGGTCTTACTTCTGCCAGTGCCCAGCTGGCTTTGTCGGTGACGGTGTCACCTGCGAAGGTCCGTTAAGAGCTCCAAAGAACTTTTTGAACTTCACTTCACAATCAAAATGTTTTGCATCTGCAGTTTTTCGTCCTCGATGATTGCACATTTGTATATTTTATTGAGGTCTGTTATGATTTCAGATGTAGACGAGTGTGAACTGGAAATTTCAGACTGCCACGAGCTGGCTCGATGCGGCAATTTGATTGGCTCTTACTTCTGCCAGTGCCAGATCGGTTACCATGGGGATGGAAGAAACTGTTACGGTAAAGCAATTTTGTCGTCTTATATTCCGACCCATTTTGTACTAGAAGACTGTATTCTTTTTCATTTGCTTATACATGTAGTTGGGATAGAGATGTGACTAAATAATGCACTTCAATCTAATTAAAGTTTGTCTATCAGCAAAATTTCTTTGATGGCACATCATCATCCTTTTAGTATTTGTATTAAAATACTGTCACCTTTTATAAGGACAGTCATTTTTTAACAATCTGTTTCTCATGCTGTGAGTGTAATTTTCCTTGATAGTTTGAACACTGACAATTTTAAAAACCTACATTTCCTCAAATACTGAAGGGAATTTCACCAGAAAGGAAATGTAGCATCAAAAATTTTGTACAAATTTGTGTCAGTGAAGTGTCTCAGATGAAATTTTCAGTTTTCGTAGATGGTTTAGTCTTTCTTTTTTTACTTTTATCCATCCCAATCCTCCAACTCCACAAGGGCATGAAACAATGAAATTTAGGCAGAAATTTGTAAAACAAAACAAAGAAACAAACATCCCCCACATGCAAACAATAGTGACCTTTGTCAAGTTCTGACAGCTGCCAAAGCTTTATCTTCCTCCAGTGAGGGTAGGATCGAAATTTATGCCATCTCACTCTCTAGATGCTGACGAGTGTGTTCTTGGCAACGGTGGCTGCTCTCAGATCTGTGTCAACACCAAAGGGAGCTTCAGGTGTGCTTGCAATGCCGGATACATCATGGCACCCAACGGTCTGGATTGCTTAGGTAAATCGATATAAATTGATCTTCGATCAATTCATTGACGAGTCGAATGAAGTAGACTGAATCTCATTTGAGAAGCATTCAATCAGCAGTCCATGAGAAGTACAATCGATAAATCGGCATAGCCATTATGACCCAAGAGAAATTTGTCAAGGTATACTGTGTACCAGCGAGTATACATTTCCATAATTCAATTGACTCTCACTGTATTATTTCTTTAATTTATGTGAATGTTCATCATGTAGCAGTAGTACGATTACTGCCAAATATTTGCAGAAAGTTGTTGGGAGTCTCAGCCCACAGCAATGTGGACTGTGCAGACATATTATTTCTTTGCGTTGTTGAAGGTTCCCCCTCAAATGTTGGACGCCTTTGGCCCTTTAGGTTCCTGAATTCTAATTAGCTAACCGTAACCTTCCTCAATCCTCCGAAATCCTCCAGGCAGTCTTGGAGGATTTTGGACGATTGAGGAAGAACAGTTAAATTGCATTACTGGTTTTCAATGGCGTAGCCATGGGGGGGTGTCTGGGGGGCATGTGCCCCCACCAACAAATTCCCGGTGCCCCCCAGGTAACCCCTCTCTAAAAAATGGATGAATGGATATTGAACAAGGCTAACAAAAGCTTACCCCAAAAAAACCATACCACTGAAAGCTGGTGCCCCCACAAAATGAAGGTGCCCCCCACTAGTAAAATCCTAGCCAGCTACTGCTGGTTTTAAGGATGCATTGTGTCAAGGTTGTAGGTTAGATCTTGTGTTGTTAATGTTCAGCCATGCATAAATTCATGCCCACATTATATGTAAAATCTTCCATACTGCTCCAAGATACCACTCGCACTGCATCAACATAATGACAGGAATTGCCTGAGGATTTGAGGGAGTGGGCAGTCCCCAACGAAGCATATTCAAGAAACTGGAGGATTTTGGAGGGTTGAGGCAGAATGGGATTTTTTTGCATGGATAATCAGAGAGTATTAAAAGATTGAGCACCACAAAAGTGACAAATTAGTTAAATGAGATTCCGAATTTGTCTTCAGATATTGATGAGTGTTTGGAAGACCACATGTGCATGCAGCATTGCGAGAACACTTACGGTTCATTCAAGTGTTACTGTAATGCCGGGTACCAGCTACACAATGATGAGGTTACTTGCGTCGGTAAGTCGGTCACTTACTTCCATTTGAGGAATTGTATTGAGATGGCGAGTGGTCTGCAGCTTTTGTTCTTTTGCCATTTCACCATTGTCATCAATCAAAAATCTGCTAATATCCCGTTTTCTGAATGTAAGTAACTCCCAAATTAAAGAGGGTATAGATGAGTTTTCTGGGCAAAAGAAGTGTGTGTAGAATTGCTTTGAATGCCTGCTGAAATAAAGGTCCATTGATGGTTGCACCATGGAAACAAACAGAAACAAAACACATTTACAGAGAGCTGGAGAAAGACAATGCATAACAAATAAACAATTCCGTGATTACCACTTGAAAACTCATGTAATGCCAGGAAGTTGAATGATAATAATGATAACCAAGTTTTATATATAGCACGTTTAACTAAGATCAAAGCGCTTTCCGGTTCTTAAGTGACTTGGTCGTACATGCGCACGCACCACCGATTACAAGCTCCCATTGGACAAATACTCCAGTTGCGCATTGATTTCTGGTTCCCTGGTTCCAGGTAACTATGCACAATGGGCGTGGTGTAAACCAAAGTGACATCACACTTGCGAATCGGTTACATCATCAGAACCTAGGGTATTTATAGAAGTAGACACTTTATGTCTCACAACAGACGATGACGATTTCCCCTGTGGTAAACCTTGTTTTCATTGGTCTTTTGTTCCTCATTCAATGCACAATGCAGATATCGATGAATGTAAGCTCGGCAATGGTGGCTGTGAGGAGAACTGCATTAACACCCAGGGATCGTATTACTGCGAGTGTGGTCGTACCAGATACTTCATTGCTAACAGCACGACTCATTGCCGAAGTATGCTGCATTGCTTTTGTTGAATTCTCACTGCAGAATTTTTTGTCCTCAACCCTTTGATATGTTGTACCGTTCACAGTTGAACGCGAACAAAATTTCCGAGCATTGTTACTTGCAAAATTGCTCAAGACACAGAAATTAAGACAGGGCGTCATGTCATCAAGCATGAGATTCGATTGCAACCGATGTAAGCGCAGATTGTCTTTTAAAGAGGAAACTGTTTTTTTTCCAGATGTAACATCGTGTGAGGAAAAGAACGGTGGATGCGCACAGCTGTGCCGGTTGGACCAGCGGGGTATAGTGTGCGACTGCAGGGTTGGGTTTGTGCTTCATAACAATGGTCGAGACTGCATCGGTAGGTTAGCCTCATAGTTGGCAATACCAATAGATTTTAAATACAGTAAACATTCTGAATAATCCTTTTACTAGTACTTTTTATTACCTGATTATCTTTCATGTGTTATTTGTCACGCTTTACAGAATCCCTTATAAATAAATCATGAGTATATCTGAGTATATCCAAAGATGAATAAACATTTTACTCATGGATTCCATCTTAAAGAATTAAATTCACAAATTTGCCACAATTAATTATGATCATAATGCCAAGGTCTAGGCATCATCAGCTGTTGTATATATATACATGTACATTTGATTTTGTAGAGTACATGTGTTTGAAAATTGAATACAGTCAAATCTTGTTAAGAAGAGGTCTTATAGACTTTGCAGATTATCTCCTTATAACAGTAACATTTTTTATTATCAGAATTATTAGTGCTCTTAAGCACTTAACAGTGTGATTGTATTTACATTATTTTATTTAAATAACTCTGAAATGATTAATGAGACCGAAAGCCAACTGGACAGACAAATTGTGATTTTTTTTAAACGTCTAAACATGCACTTGCACCTGGAAACCCATCCTTGGGGTCAACATGCCGCCGTATTTTATTTAACCATGGTATCTTGTGTGACTGGCTCTCTGCAAGTTTTGGTTGAGCATGTAAATTTCAAAATAAAAGGTTTGGCACGTGAGTGCTGTTGGTTTATTTCTGAACCGGAATTCCCGATGCCGTGCTTTTTCGCAGACGTGAATGAGTGCAGCGATGCCAATGGTGGCTGCGAACAGCTCTGTAGGAATTCAGAAGGTAGTTACGAGTGTGAATGCCGTGAAGGGTACCAGGTTAGCCCGGCAAACAGCTACAGATGTGAAGGTAAAACTGAAACTAACTTTTTAGTTGCCTTGTTTCAGCAGATCATTAATTTTGGCAGAAAACAGTCAAAAATTATAAAAAGAATAGAAAATACAATTTTGTATTGTATGCATTTGGTTTTTTTTCTAAATTTTTTTCATTGATTCGGATTCTTACTTAAAGAGCTTTTTGTCCATTCAATAGCATTTTCACTGGAGGAAAATGCACATTTGTCTTAGAATTTCACTGTTATCTTAAAAGAAACTCTATGATTATGACGATTGTTCATTTACTTTGTTCATTTCAATGCTATTTACAGCTACATGTATCCTATGATTTTTCTTTGGTAGTCAAACGTGTTGCCATTTCTACATATTACCACCTTATTTTCATCTTTTTCGTGTTGAGCAGGGTTTTTTGCTTCCATTTTGTATGAATGTTGAACACAAACCATGTGGATTTTAACTATATATTTGTCTCCATTTGAAAGTAAATATAGTATTTTACATTTTGACAATGCTTTTACTCATTAGCCACTTGTGAACCAGCATGTCGCAATTACGGTGTCTGCGTCGGTCCAAACCGCTGTGTGTGTCCCGCTGGCTACGGTGGTGAGACCTGCACTCGTGAGTATATATATATTTAGACCTCTCCTTGTTAGCATCACATGTTGAAGCTGCCTGTAAATATTTAGGAAACCATGACTGGTTGTCAGCAAAAGTATCACACAATCTCACTTCGCTGTCAAAACACCCATGAGAAATACGCTATTCCTACTGAATGCCAGAGGTGGTAGCAAGTCAATTTTTGCAAGTCCAAATCAAGTCACAAGTCAATTATTGCAAGTCCAAATCAAGTCACAAGTCAATTATTGCAATCCAGGCCAAGTCACAAGTCCAGTCACAGGGCATTTGATCACAGGTCAAGTCACAAGCCAGTTTGTGCAAGTCTAAGCCAAGTCATTTGGTCCAGTCACAAGTCAAGTCACAAGGCATTTGATCACAGGTCAAGTCACAAGCCAGTTTGTGCAAGTCTAAGCCAAGTCATTTGGTCCAGTCACAAGTCAAGTCACAAGGCATTTGATCACAGGGCAAGTCAAGTAACAAGACAACTCGGTCCATACACAAGCAAGCCTCAAGTCTTTTGTCCAAGTACAAGTCAAGTCGTGGTCTGTGTGATTTTAAGCCACAGCCAAGTGATTCAGACATGGCCTTGGGCAGACAAACTGAAGTAGAAGCCGCGAGCTGAACTTTGCGCTGATTATTTTAAGAACGAAAGGCATGAGTAGATAGATCTAATTCAAAACTTTAATGGGTTCGATTAAATAGTTTTCTGACTTGCATTGGTAACAAGTCATGATGTGCAAGTCCAAGTCAAGTCACAAGTC